TTGTTGCTGTTGGCGGGTTTATCGCCGCGCGGATGCGTCGTTCGGTGCGCTGCGATTTTCTTTGCGCTGAGTCGGTCGCGCCATGTTCCGCCTTTGACTTTCTTCGGCTCGTGTTTTAGGACCGTTGTGTCGGGGAGGCTGAAGTTGAGGAGGAGGCCGTCGTCGGCCATTTTGTTCTTGGTGGGTAGGTGCCTGCCTGCCTCTGGGGGGTTTTTTTTGATGTTTGCTCGGGGAGAGGTCTGGATGGGGGACAGCGGGACTGGAAGAAACTTTACTCCAGAGGGAAATTTTCTCGGGCCGGAAAGGTTCCGAACCCTTGGTTTTTGCCCTAGTTTCTGTTTTGGGAGGGATGTTTAGGTGGTAGCATGGAGAGATGGAAGGTAAATATATGACTTTTGGGTACATCTATATATAAGCTATTGATCTAGTAAATAACATCGGGTATATATACTTTTCGCTTTTGGATGAGGCCTGGAACAATGAGGTACCCGCCTCTATCTACACCCGCGGCTTGAAGATCAAGTTATCGATCAAACGCACTGGAACTTGGCCATCGCCCAGACCACAGTCCTCGCCAGGCTTAGACTCCTTTAGAGGAGCCATCTTGAGTGCGCTGCTGAGAATGGCGCCCTTGGCGGGATCAATCACGTCCAACTCGTCCAACGTATCCGGGTCAGCGAGAGAGATGTAGTCCACCTCGTACAGCGCCCTCTCCGCGGGCGACAACGCCTGCTGCTCCGCCAGAACCTTCTGAGCAACACTGTTCGCGGCATCGAGAACCTCAGTCCGGTTGACCTTGCCAGCGATATACGCATCCTCCGCCGCCTTCAAAGCAGTGTACAGCGCCAACCCCACAGCGCGTCTCCTTGCACCAAGGTAGACGTTCCTGGAACTCATCGCCAAGCCATCATGCTCGCGAACCGTATCCCCAATCTTAATCTCCGTATCGATATAGAAATCCTTGACCAGACGCTTAATCACCACGGTCTGCTGCACATCCTTCTGTCCGAAATAAGCCCGGTCGGCATGGACAATGTTGAACAGCTTCATGCAGACGGTGGCCACGCCACGGAAGAACACAGGCCGGGAAGCACCCTCCAGCTTCCGAGAAAGAGGGGTAATGGTAACGAAAGACCCGTCGCCGTCGACTTCAGACGAGGGCGGCAGCGTCGGATACATGACCTTGGATGTGGGCGCGAGAATGGCGGTGATGCGACCGTTCTTGCTGTCCTGGTGGGCCAGCTCGGTGTTCAATTCCTCGAGCTTCGCGACATCGCTGTCCCAGGTGCGCGGGTAGCTGGACAGATCCTCCGACACGCCGAATTGAGTGGGGTTCACGTAGATGCTGACGAAGACGTCGGTGTTTTCGGCGGCGGCTTGACGGATCAGGGAGAGGTGGCCTTCGTGAAGGGCGCCCATTGTTGGGACCAGACCGACGGTCCGGTTGGAGAGGAGGAGCTGACGACGCAGCTGTCGGAGTTGGGGGACATCGCGGAAGACTTGGAAAGAGTGCTTCTGGAGGGAGGGGGAAGCCATTGTGATATTTTTGAGGAGGGAGGTGGCGGCTGTGAGGGAGAAGATGGTTAGAGACACTGTTCAGAGGAGGAGGATATAAATAACCGCGCATTCAGGGGCATACTAGAAAAACGCCGTGTCCAGCCGAACATGGTGATGTGGTTTCTGGAGGTTGGACGAGGGAGCTGTCGTTGTACCGCCGGTTCTCTTTTAAGTCCCGCAGTGGAGCAGGTTGCAGCCCAGGCCCAATTAGCCCAGGTAGTGGGTGGTAGGAGAGACGGCGCAATTGTTGGTGCTGAGACGGTGCTCATCGCAATTTATGGCCTTGACCGGGCACGACATGATGGTCTGACCTCAGAGTGGCGTGCTGTCGACTGCAGCGTTGAGTTCATCCCTCGACCGCTGCAAGTAGTAATTAATTGAATTTCCGCGATCCCCCCCAATCGGGCTAGCGCGCCGTTGCACGGGCGTGACCGTTCGGCCTCACGTGAGCGGAGCAGCTCGAATCATCCGAGGCATTCTGGGGAAATGCCGGGGATCGTCGTTGGTTGGGATCTCGCTTGCCTCCCAGGAACCAGGCGCTGGTCGAATCATGGCTTTGCCTCTCGATGCTCTTCCCCTTACTTGACCTTACCGGACTCCTTCTGAACAGTCAATGGTCGTTGAGCTCCAGCTATCCCCTCGAACCCATCCCCTAAAGTGATCAGCATTCCCGTTCCCCGCCCCGAGACAATGCCCTCCGACAAGTCCCCGGTCGGCGAATCCGCCCCGGATCTCGAGATCGTGGGAAACAAAGTCACCATCCACCCAAGCGGAGTTACTGGAGGGCCGGAACCTCAAGATGACCAGATCACCGAGCGCAACCTCGTCCGCCATATGGCGCGATTCCGCGAGAACCCTTTCGACTTCCTGCGGGAAGTGAGCCTCTATATGTCGGGAACCGGGTGGCGCGCCTACGATGATGTGATCGGACAACCCATATTTTACTCCGGGTTTGGGGATCGCATGAAGTCGCGAATCCTCGCGAGTCCTCTGTTACAAGGGAAAGTGAAGGAGCTTGCGGAGGCGCGATTGGAAGTGGAGGAGAAGGATGGGCTGTTGGATGTTAATCCTGGCCCCTTGGCGCAGAAGAAGATACATCGTCGAAATGAGATAGAAAGTAACCTCAAGGAGGTGGTGGACTCCATGTTAGACAATATGATTTGCAAGATGGAGAGCAAGAGGTTTATACGAGGGGCATATTATCTTTGCACGCAGCTCCTGACACGCGCTTATCACCAAGGTGGGGATTCGAACTGTCGACGACGAGGAGATTGTTAACAGAGGGACAGGAATACACGTATCGAGTGAAGAAGTTCTCCGGCTGAGATCGTTTGCGGAAGATGCAGCTGCTAAGAAGCAGTCTATTGTCTTCTTACCCTGCCACAAGTCTCATGTCGACTACGTGTCGCTCCAGCTTATCTGCTATCGTCTTGGAATTGGGCTTCCGGTAGTCGTAGCGGGCGAGAACCTCAATATCCCAATGCTCGGGCCTTTTCTACAACATGCCGGTATGTCTGATCCGTCGCCGTCTGTTGCTTTGCTGACAAGCTAGGCGCTATGTGGATTCGGAGGAGCTTCGGAAACGACCCGCTGTACAACACCGTCGTACAAGCCTATATTGACACACTTTTACAGCAAGGGTTCAACTTTGAATGCTTCATCGAAGGTGGTCGCTCCAGAACTGGCAAGCTCCTGTCGCCCAAGTTTGGTATCCTCAGCTTCATCTTGGACAGTGTCCTTTCAGGCCGCGTGGAGGACACCACTATATGCCCTGTCAGCACACAATACGACAAGGTCATTGAGACTGAGTATGTTATCATGAATGTGCATTATATAGAATACTAACATTACTTAGGTCCTACATTAGCGAACTTCTTGGTCAGCCGAAGAGGAAGGAAAACTTGGCTGATTTTCTATCCTCCTCTTCTGTCCTGTCCTTGAAGCTCGGCCGGGTGGACGTCCGCTTCCATGAGCCATGGAGCCTGCGAGAGTTCATTTCCCAGCAATTATCTCGCATGCCTGAGCAGATCATCACCGACGGCGGACCGAAACTGAGTTACGCGGACAGAGGTCGGGTGCTAAGGTCGTTAGGATACAGGGTTCTGTCTGACATCAACGACGTGTCTGTGATGATGCCGACGGCACTTGTTGGTACGGTGCTTCTCACTCTTCGCGGACGAGGTGTCGGGAAAGGCGAATTGGTCCGGCGCGTCGAATGGTTGTGTGAGCGTGTTCGAGCGAAAGGCGGACGGGTCGCTCACTTCTACCGCTATCCCACGGATGTCGTTGTTGACCGAGCCCTCGAGGTTTTGGGCCCGCAGATTGTGGGCGTGGTGAGCGGACTAGTTGAGCCGACTTTCCTCGCCGTGGATCGTTTCCAGCTTTCGTTTTATCGCAATATGACAATCCACCTATTCATCACCGAAGCGTTGGTGTCTGCGGCCATGTACACGAGAATTAAGCAAGGCGGCGGGCCGTCTTACCAGCGCATGTCCTATCCAGACCTCGTAAACCAGGTTTCATTCCTCTCTCAGGTAAGCACATTTCCGGTGGTGTTTACACCTTGCTGACAGTTGCAGCTTTTCCGTGGTGAATTCATCTTTCCTCCAGAAGGCTTAACAACGAACCTGGAGAAGACTCTCCGAGGACTGGAGAAAGACAATGTCATCACGGTCAGCCGAGACACCACCGGGGAGCCGCTCTTCGTCGAGCTCAGCGACGCAGAACGACAATGTGGCCGAGAAAACTATGACTTTTACTGCTTCTTGATCTGGCCATTTATTGAAGCCTCATGGCTCGGCTCAGTATCACTTCTGGGACTTACTCCGCCCCTGAATGGCGCGGAAGACGTGTGGATTGATCTCAACAAGGCACAAGACAGTGCCCAACTGGTAAGACACCCAGTACCCCATTTCACGCATTAAACTAACAATACAGCTTGGAAAAACCCTCTACCACCAAGGCGATCTCTCCTACTTTGAAGCAGTCAACAAAGAAACGCTCAAAAACTCCTACCAACGCTTCGCGGAGGAAGGCATCATTCAAGTCGCGAAAAGCAAGGGATCGAAATCCTCTACCATGAAATTGGCCGCCGAATGGACGCCCGAGCGGGATCCAACCACTGGAAAACTGGTTCCTCGCGGCCGTCTGTGGAATTTCACCGAACTGATCGCACAGTCCAGACGTGAGGGGTGAGTGATCTGTCCTTCTCCACATACCAAGTCTAATGTCTTGCAGTAAAAACCGCCGCGACGGCGCAACAGTCTCATCGCGAGTTCTGCACATGTCGGATCTCGTCGGCAGAAAATTATTCGAAGACGCATCGAGTCGCAGTCCAGCTGAGGAGGTGGATGTCTCGATCCGGCAAATGCGGAGGAAAGCGATTACGCCAAGTTCAAAGCTCTGAGACGTAAAGGTTATTTGGTTGACCAATAAGCACCTATGGGCCTATGGCGCAATTGGTAGCGCGTAGTAAGTTGACCTTGAATCATAACGATCTCAAAAACATCATCTAACAGTTCCTCCGCAGCGACTCCAGATCGTAAGGTTGTCCGATCGAGCCGGGCTGGGCTCATACCCTCTTTTTTCTTTTTACCGACTTCTTTTTTTGGCAGTCGGGATGTAATGAGTGAAGAAGCATAGCATTAATACCCTTTATAGTTGTGGTTTGTCTGATGGGGATTGTTGGGGTCTATATAGTCGGTTTATCAAGAGGCGCATATTCCGGGTCCAGGTGTAGAACATTGATCTTGTAGCTGAGCAGAGTATTAGTCTTGTCTCTCTCCTGTTATCCTATTTTCCTTGTCACATCAGTAGGTCATGTCCTATTCATTTTCTCGCCCGTGTCCGTTGTACCTCTCCATCCTCCCCACTGTACCCTATAGACAGAATTTCTTAATTTTGATCACACCGTCTCTAAATATCCATATCATTCCATCTGGTTCAACTCAATGCATATTTATTAATCCCATTGAGGCCGCAGTGCCATACCAGCTATGAATGTGCTTCACTGCTTGACCCATGGGTGATGCCAGACCAGCCCGCTATCAAATTCTCCGCATAGGAATCCCCGCAAAGCCTCACATATGGGGAAGAGCTTTCTCTCAAAGCAAAACATTCAATTAAACAGAATATAATCTCATCAGTGATGAGTAAGGCGCGCTCCATTCCGTGTATCTTCCTTTTCCTGTATGTCTACCCGATATCATATGCAGATCGATGCTCCGAAGCGTTATCGGAATCAATAGTATATCACCGGCGAATACAGAGTATAATCCTTCTTGTATGAAGTGTACGACGTAAATATATTTAACACCCCATCCCCCCCCCAACAACAGCCTGCACAACCATCCTCGTCGCTTCGACATCACCAAGCACAATCCTCGTCTCAAACCCATTCCTTTCCACCACGGTCACCTCCATCCCACCCCCCATCCTCACCCTCCACCCCTTTACATCCGTCGCCCCATTCCAACTCACATAAACCACCACTACCACCCCCTCCCCCTCCTCCACACACGCCACCCCCACCGGCCTCCCCACCCATCGAGGGAATCTATACCCGCGATACGACTGCGTGGAATCATCGAACCCAAACCGTGCACGCATGAGCACTGCGCCGTGGGCATCATATTCTTCTAATTTTGGGGTGGCGCCGTGTTGAAGCAAGACGTGGTTGTTGGGAAGGGGTTGGGAACTTCCTTGGCTTGGGGAGAAGATGGGCTCGATGGGGTCCCAGAGCGTGCGGGCCGGAGTGATGGTTTTCTTGGGGAGGTGTAGGGTTAGGGATAGGCCGGTGGTGAGGGTGGTTTGCGGGGTGAAGGTTTTGGCGTTGGCGTTGTTGTGCATGTGCAGGGTTAGGGTTGTGGTGTTGGGGTGGGGGTAGGAGGCGAGGCGGGGCGAGTGTTGGTAGCAGAAGGTGGTGCCGGGGGTGAGGGTGAAGGAGGTGCATTTTTGGCCCTGGTGGGTTGGGGGTAAAGGGGTGGGCGTACGTGGAGTTGCCAGATTACGGTGCCGTGTTTGTCGAGGAGGATGATGCTGCAGAGGAAGCGCGAGGAGAGGAAGTAGGTGGCGCCGTATTTGGCCACGGAGTTGAGGTGCGGGTATCCGTAGGGGTTGGATTTGCTGGTTCCGGTTCCTTGGAGAGGGAGTTCGGTGTCGGTTAGGGGGATTGTGGAGAGGTGTTCGACGGTGCTCCAGCGGAAGAGGACGCGGTTGGTTTTGATGTCGATTTCGTAGAAGAGGCCGTCTTGGACCCAGCCGTTCTTGGGGCCGCCGATGGGGGAGAGGTCAAGCTGGGTGATGTTGACGGCGGTTACGAGGATGGTGCCTTCGGGGGTGATTTGGCTCTCGTGGATGTCGATGTAGGAGGGGAAGGTTTCGGGGTCGGCGGTGGTGATGAAGTTGTGTTCGGATCCGGGGAGGGTTATGTGGTGGATCTCCTGGTAGGAGGTGTTGAGGATGCTGATTGAACCGAAGCCGTAGCCTTGATAGTCGGCGCTTTGCCAGTAGGCGAGGACGGGCTCGCCGTCTAGCATCTGGGGCTGGAAGGCAGAAGTGCTGCCATTAGGGCCTTGCCAGACGAGCTGGCCGTCGTCGGAGTAGATGGCTGGGTAGCTCCATTCTTGGGTGGAGGAGGATGGAGAGAAGAAGAGGTGGCCTAGCTCGGGTTTGCCATGCTTGGGGACATTTAGGTATGGCGCTTGGATGGAGGTGCTCCGAAAGGTCTGCTGGGGCCAGGCGGATTGTGCGGCAGCTTGAACACCAAAAAGTATTGTGATGAGATTGGCGGCATTGTTATTTGCGAATAGACGCATTTTGAATATTTTGTTGGTAACCTGAGGTAGATAAGTACTCTGCCATCCATTGAGATGAGCATTGATGCTATTTAAAGCTCGTTGACACCGTGTATCGTCCCGTATGTGATATCATATCATCCTCGGGTTCACACCGGCAGTTCCTCCCGAGCAGTGGGGTAACCCTATGGGGGCATTGCGGCATGGTGTTCGGATGTGGGAGTGGATGGGAGCAGTGAGTCGCGCTCCTTTAGCTAGAGACTAGAAATCCCAACTTCCAATGGTGGAGATGGATCGGATGAAGATGATATAGCCAAAGTAGATGCTATTGTATGCATCGTCTTCAGCACTGACAACTGCGATGTATATGGGCCCTCAAGTATACATCTAAATGGCTTAATTTTCTATAACAGTGATAGGGAAGGAGGCTGCAGATGGGGCAAATACCATTGAAAAGAATGATAAAGAAACTAACTACCATGCTTTGTCTCTCATCCATTATTTGTCACAAAAAAGGATGATTGTCCAGAAATGGCCCTGGGGATCTGGATCATTAAGACGGTTTGCCAGAATGTTTAAATGTACCCCTGGAATTATTTAACCCAGACAATCATATGACATAAAACCATACTGATTTCTCCGAGTAATCTTGCACCCCTTTGCTATGTCATGTATTTGAGGTTATATCTGGGGCATCTCTACATTGAATCAGACCTTTTGTGCCAATGGGTTGCAGCTGGTTGCATAAACTGCGCAAATATGTACTCTTGGGTTATCTCTGCCTCCGATAATGGTGCACATTCCAGGTCTGTCCCAACCCCCAAAGCTTCTCTAGGCTCCGACCAAAGGCGCAATCATTATTGATGTACAATTACAGCAGCTGGCAGGTAGATTATGGCCATAACCTCTGCAGTTGAAGCGAACATCCGAAAGCCGATTCCATTGTACATGCCAACCATCACGGTGTCTATGCAATACATCTCTGTCCCACTTGCCGACAGAAGTGATGGCCCCAGGAACAATGATAATAACGAGGATGGCGGTGCAGGTGCAGGTGCTATAGGCCGTTGACCATTAGACCTTGTTGATACGCCACGAGTAATACAGATCAAGCCCTTGATGTTTCTATCCGGAAGAGCGCTGATACTTCAAAGTAAGGGGTGAAGGGAGAACCCCATTTGCAACATTTTGTGCTTTATCCTCAGGGTGGGGACTGGGGAAGGGGTGCTTAGTAATGGCCCAATTAGGTTAGAGTACCCACCCGCCGTGATTCGTAGTGCTACAATCAATGAATGTTACTTCTGTCTTCAGCTCTTTATCTTCCCTTTATTGCACATCTTCCTCCCTGCTCGCCGGTAAATTATGATACCCTCCAAGGCTTGCACTTGGCTATCTGATGTCGTTTGGCCTTCTGCAACTCAGGAGTCGGACGAGTCAAAGGTAAGCTTGATTGAGTTCTCTCGTCTTCTCTTGCTAAGTTATTCTTTTAGAATGCTGCAAAATTAGAGCTCGATAACCCCCAGGCTCAATCTCCTCGGGCAAATAGACAGTATCACGAGGCTCGGTCTTCTCCATTGCTTCATGATCCTTATGTTGGTCTCCCAGTAATTGGGACTGGCATGACTGGGATGCTTCTTCAGATGGGGGAAGACCGTGCCGTTAAGACAGCTAAGCAATATCAGCTTGGGCGCCCGCAAGACCGCGAGGATATGGAATATATGAACGAAGTAAACCAGCAAATTCTGCAGAATGAGATCCTAGCTTTTGAACGCCTGGGCAGCTACAAAGGGCTTATTCCTTGCTTTCGAACGTCCCAATATGGAATTGAGCTAGCCCTTGCACAAGGAGATCTCGAGTCCTATCTAGAGACCTATCCAGAGCCCGAAGACTCCTTAAAAATCGCCTGGATATTAAGTCTTATCGAGACCTTTTCCTATGTTCATTCTCGCAAGATATTTGTGGATGACATTGCTCTCCGTAATATCTTGATCCTGGATAAGCAGCTCAAACTTTCAGATTTCGGACAGTCTATTTTATTACCTCTTGATATTGATATTTCGTCTGCAAACGAAAACGACTTGAATGTTCAAATTGAAATACTCCATCTGGGTTGGATTCTCTACTCCATTTCGTCCTGGCATGTCCATAAATATTATTTCTTCCGCCCCGAGAACCCTGACCTCTGCTGGCCTGAACCAGACTCATTCCCAAATGTTGATGATGTTCTATGTGGAAGGATAATTAAGAAGTGTTGGCGTGGCGAATACGCGAGCATGAATCATGTGAAAGATGAGGCCGATCAATTTTTCACTGCCACCAAGTCATGAGGTGTGCGATCTTTTCCTGTGCCTGACTCGTTAGCGCATTAGACAATTAGCTCTTATTCATATTTCTAAATCGATGCAATCAACAACTGCTAAAGCCATTCTGGCTTGTCTCTATAACCCTGACGTACCTCTTGCTAAATACCGACAAGACATCTACTGAGTTATATCGCAACTTGCTTGATCTCATCTGGCGTTTTAACTTGATCAAATATCGGGCTCCACATTCGGTCAATAAGATTGCTTAAACAATAATAAGGACTCTAATCAAATATATATTCCGTAGAGTAGAATTGTTTCTCATCCACTACAGCGATGGAGTGCGGGGACTGCAGTAAACCTCTAGCTTTTTACTCAATACAGAACAATATTTTACAGAAAGAAATACCATACAACCTGAATAGAAGTTAATAAAATTACTGAGTAGACTGCAAGTAATCGGCTGCTATATTATT